GTGGGGGTAGGGGGGGTGAGGGAAGAGTTGTTTAAGCGAGATATCCTCTAATTCAATTGCCATTTGGAGCCGTGCTGGTGGCTGCTGGGCTGGTCCCTGCAAACCCAGGTGACACGGAGATAGCTTCGGAGGACGTCAGCAAAGAGAGGAGCTGGTGACCCACCTCATGAGATGCTCATTCCCAAAGGTGGATTTAGCGGCTTCAGCTGATGATCGGAGAGGCAAAGCCTGGTCTCACGTCAGCACAAGCCGAGCCAGCCGACTTCAGCCCTCAAAGTCCACCAAACTCAGTGTGTTAGCCCCAAAATGATATGAGAAAGGCTGGTTCACAGCCACTTGTGCTCAGCTGGGAAGGGCGAGAGGACAGTTGGTCCCATCCCTTCCCTCCACTGGTGACTTTGGAGCCCTCCAAGCACCAAAGATGCCCCAGCCAGCCCTTGCCCAGAGCTTTTTGAAGACTTTGATCATCTTTCTGGAAAAGCAGAGCTTTTTCCAGTGTTAAGATCTCATTCTGTCTCCAACTTCCCCAAACACAAGTGCCGAGGAGCCCATGCACACCCTGGACTACTCAGCGAGAGGCTGGGACCTCTGGGAAGTCACTGCCCACTCTTCCCCTGGGACAGGCTCAGCCCCAGGGGACTGAGGATGCCGAACTCATTGCACTGGTGAGCTGATGCAGGCAGACCAGTGGCTGGTGAACTCGCTGAACATCCCCTTGGAAAAGCCCCTGCCTGGGAAGTTTTTCATCCCATCCAGACATTCTGCTCTGACAGCATTTTCCTCCCTCCTCCCAGCTCAGACACAGTGAGGCCAGTTCTCATCTGAATCAACCCCCTTCTCCCCCAAATCCCTCCCACACTCCGACCTCCACCACCCTTAGGAGAGACCAGGAGCCTCGCCAGGTCTTCACAAATCTTTTCCTCTGCAAAGCTGGAGCCTGCAGATAATAAATCCACTGCAGAGATCATAAACACATCAGCAAGCCAGAGGAGAAGCCCCTTTTGCATTTTAAAAGCAAAGGCAGCTTAAACATTTAAGCCAAGGAGGCTGTTTCAGGTTATTTTTAGGCTCCTGACCCCCCCCCCCCAGCCAGCAAAGGGGAAAAGTCAGGAGTTTGCAGGATTGCACCAAAACCTGCTGACAAAGTCATGCATCAGCACGGAAAGCAGTGCTGGGGGGTTTAGGGCAGAGCACCCCATATAATCTCAGCTCCTCTGATGCCGGGGGGGAGCGAGCATCTCCCAGGAAAAGACCCCCCTGGAATGCTTCCCAAGAGGGAGGTAAAATCCCTGCTTAAGGGCAGAACTTGGATTTTTTGGGGCTCCTGCACCCTCAGAGCAGGATTTGCCCCACCATAAGCAAACAGGTTGCAGATTGAAGCTTGCAATTACAACCTGGAGCAATCAACTCTGTGGGTTCATTAAGCCCGGCTTCCCCTGCAACGCCAAGTTTGCAAGAAGTGACGACAAAAACGGGTGGGGGAAGAGAGAAAAGACAACAAAAAAAAGTTACCTTCTTCCAACCAGCGACCTCCTTGCAAGGCACCCAGAGGCTTGGCTTGATGAGGGTCTCAGGAAAAGCGTGGCCTTGCTAAGTGGGGTCTAAAGCATCCACTTGTGGGAGCCCAGCACAGATGCGGCCATGCAAGCTTAAAGGCAAAGTTCAGAGCACCAGCAAGCGAGCGGAGGCTCGCGGTGGCTCAGGGAACTTTATCCCCTCCATCGCCAGGAGGCCTTGGCTGGGGGCCACCCTGGGGTTTAGAAAATTAAAAACAACCAACCCCGTGCTCCGTTCTCCCTTTGATTAGGCAGAGCTTTTCGGGAGAGGAGGCAGCTTGACCCAGCCCCCTTCTTCCCCAGCTCTCTGTCGGCTTCAGCTGGGTTT